GCTTTTTTTTTTTGCAGAGTAATCATTTCCAGGTTTAAGAAGCTATGATCTCCAACCTACTGACTGCCTACACCCTGCGAGGCAAGCTAGGGCAAGAAGACTGGAAGAATTAAGGTGAAATAACAGGGAGTGATAGCTCTAGGGCATTTACTAATAAGGGTTCACACACAACCTGAGTGGGGGTTTGTGACCTTTCTTTGGGTACAAAATAACACGTTTTGTTTTTCCAATAAGAAAACAACTGTGGTTTGAGATTTGAGGAAACTTTTATACAAGACAGAAGCTCCAAAAGTGTGTGAGTGTGTGTGTGTGTGTGAATGTTTAATAAAAGAAAGATAAACAGGTAAAAGATGCAACAGGTTGTTACTGCATTAAATAATATCTTGTATTTCCCTCATGCTTTGACATGTTACAGCCAAATTCGGTGACTAGAGTCATGTATCATTTGCTCTGGAGAGCTTTACTAACAGTTTCCTTTGCATTCCTGTGCTGTCATTTCTTTCAAAATGACTAATAAATCCTGAAACTCTGCTGCTACACACTACTGCAGTTAAATGACACAAAATGAGAAACAGGAGGCACAGAGAGACCCAACAGAGGACTTCCCCGTCTGTTCATTAAGCTCTTTTTAAGGTTTAAACGCTTTCCTGTGTTTGTTTGTTTTGTGAGGACATTTCATTTTCTTTACTATCTCCTCTTGTCATCGTGGCACGAATAAAGAATGCACCGCTCCAGGCAACCCTTCAAACAGCGTCTTTACCGCACTACACATTAGTTACCTCCCAGCAACACAAACACACGAGTTACCCTGCGACGTTACATGATCAGTCATTTACGTTGACAAGAGTAGGATCTACCTTAATCCAAGCTATGAAAACATTGTGTACATGTGTGTGAGTGCGCGTGTGCGTAATGGCAAAATAACCACTGCGCGCGCACTTGGCTCCTTTTTTGGGGGGGAGAGAGAGACTTACCTAGGCGTTTTCCATTTTCCTTTGCAACTTTTTTCACCTGTTCCTGGAAAGCCTCTTCCTGCGAAAGGGTCCTTTTCGGACGTTTATGTAAACAAGACATTGTGGAATGATAAAACAAATCAATATCCAGTCGCTGTTTAATCTGTGCTCGCTTGTGGAGGAGAGCCAGTCACCACGTAGTCCCCCCCTCAAAGGCGGGTCTAAACACATCTATAGCGGTGTCTGTCCACAGCTGCAGCCAGGACTGGGACTTTATACACCTGAGTGGGGGGGACGGTCTGTGTAGGAGTTCTGTGTTAAACCCGATTGGTGTTAAAGTTAATGCCTCTGATTGGCTCAGGAATTTGAGAAAAACATGTCAAACTTTGCAGAAATGAGCGTGCAGCAAATCTCATGCCCAGAGGGGGATTCCCCCCATTGATTTAAGAGAAGAAAAGGTCCCATGATGACCTTTAAATGAGTATCACGTTTAGGCTTTTATCCCTGCAAACTTCAGGTTATTGTATCTTATTCCAAACACTACAGAGTCTCGAATACCAATCCTGTCATGTTGTTGAATCCTCAATGAGCTGAGAAATAGCGCCACCCCACGGTGGATATGTATGGAAGTGAAACCCAGGCTACCTGGCTGGAAACCTTTTTTTTTTTTTTTTTAAATTTAAAATATTTGAATCTCAGTTAAAATGTGTTTGATGGTAGAAACACAGTAGTGTACTTGTCCCGTTAGTATCTGTTGTTGTCTCCTACTTTGTGAAACGTGATATTGTCATGGCAACCAAACCACTGCCGCAACCCTGTGGAGGATACTAGTTACTCAATAAGTGTAACCTATTACTCATTACTACGTTGAAAAGCAATATTATTACTTTACTTTACTCCCTGCCAACATCAATTAGTTGGAATATTAGTTATATTACTTTTCTACCACTCCCAATTAAAGTGGTGATTGTGTCTCTTCTCCCCAAAATTCAGATTTACGACGATTAAAACCCAGTTTTGTTTGTTAAAATCAAAGTATTAAAGGAATATTTTTAGCTGCTGAATATAAGAGGTTTCGATCTTTTATGATAGTTCCCTCCACGATTAGAAAAATGGATCCAAGGATGTGATTGGATTTCAAATTAATAGGTGGTGACAACAAAAGTAGGCTAATGCTGAAAATATATAGGCCTATAGACTATTTAAAAAAAATTATTAGTAATTAATTAAACTACAAGCTAGTTACTGGGAAAGGTAATATTATTACTAATAATGAGTTACTGCCCAACACTGGCTATTTGCATTTTTTTGATTTTACCCTTTTAAAAACGTCTCGGTTTCTCTTTGACACAGTTTTATAATATAAACCTAAAACATGTAAAAAATGCTAACGTATAAGAAAAAAAAAAAATCTGAATATTATCCACTCCTCTCTTGAACAGGTGAGACCCTTGGAGTAATAAAAAGGTAGTTAATCTGTGCGCCACCACACACCAACTCACCATCGTTCCCAGCTGTGCCATTTGACTCCATTGTGATTCCAGCCAAAATAAACCACCATGCACCGGACTAAAGTCCTCTTTTCTCCTCCGAGATAGTGTCGACTATACGTAAGGAGTTATCACAACCATAAAAAAAACTTGTCTGCTTGTCCTGTTTAAGGGGGAAAAAAATCCAATCTGTGCCCCCCTCTCTGAGCCGACACACACAGTGCGCAGTTAATGCCAGCCCATCAGGCTCTGATTCGCCCTCAGTCCACACCCACTGCAACACCGGTCTGACAAGTACAACACTGTGTTTGCTGTTATGACTTCTCATTCAGCTCCCTGCCAATGGAAACTGCACCTTTTCGAGGAATTCTACCCACATAGGCTGAAAATATTCGCTTGCACAAGGTCTAATGTAAACCTTGATAAGATAATGTTATATGGAGCCTTTTGCTGTGTGCATTTACTCAGTGTCCTGATTTCTATTTTTTTCTTCTGTGGCATTATGACACCTTGAGGCTGATTTGATTTACTCAGGGTGTTGCCCTTGGCTGGTACAGACCTGGCATTTATAGTCTGAGGTGTGTTCTTGCCTCTCCCCTCTATCTTATTACACTGTACAGTTAATGTTGGGAGTATCACCACTGCACATCACACCATAATCTGCAGTCATCCCTATTGTAATTCCTAAGATCTTTTTACGTGATCTCGGCCTACTGACAGCAGCTAAAGGCATCAATCCGTAGTAGATTTTTCAGCACCAGTGTTTGGCTGATTCAAACAGAAATATGTGCTAAAGCAACAACTCAGCGCTAAATGAGCAGGTGCTGTTTGTCATGCATGCCTAGCCCATCTCTTGTGAACACAAAAATGCTCTTTCTGTCCACTAGAGAATTATTAAAGGGGGTCTTGGTCTTCTTGTTGTTCGTGTCACTTATATAGCCAAGATACTTTACAGCAGTAGTAGTAGGTAAATCATGTTTGTGCCTTGGACACACGAGCTCCTGTTTGTTTGTTAGAATGTAATATATGAGGGGATTAGACAGATTCCTCTTTGTGCCTCTCTATTGTCAGTGTCTGCCAGCTTGTTCTGTCCTATGAACTCTCATGCTGGGGCAAGTCTTGTGAAAAAAAACCTGCTCTCACTGGCAAACCACGAGGCTCTACAAAGTGAGCTCAACAATCGCCTCTTTGAGAATCCCACTTGAGCACTGCAGCTGATCAGCACAGTCAAGGATTTTGTTTTGGGTGTCTAGATTTTTGGTAAACACTGACTTTTAGTAGGTATTTCATGAGTTCTTACACAGGAACCAGACTTTTTTAGCATGCGGCTCAGCAAGACTTTGCATGACACAATCTGCTGAAGCCAACTGTCCTCACATACCTCTTTCAGTACCTGTTTGTACTTCTTGCACTTCTCTTTCAAGGTAGCATCATGGAAAAGAAATCACATAGGCAACACAGCCAACGCCACACCTCAGACCACAGCAGGGTATGAGGCTGAGATAGTTTAACAAACGTGTACATGTGGTCTCATGAGATTCAGTTCGTCAGGTGACACATATAATGTCTCCTCTCCTGACTGTATACACACTACTGCAAAGAATGTCAACATTTAATAGGGTCACTGACCTTACTGTCTTTAGTTCACACATTAACTTTAAGGTAAAGACATTAATCAGCTTTTAATTATTTATTTATTTTTGTTTCAGCCAGTTTTAGGACATCAAGGAAACTCTTGTTCTTTAATAGTTCAGTGCCCACCGGCGTATTAATGGTATATTAATATATGTATATATATATATATATATATATATATATATATAGTATTATTATGTTTTTATAAAGGTGAAGTTTAATTTTGGCGATAGTGACAAAGGTATATCTTCCTCTACAGTAAGTAAGTAAGTAAAACTGTCTTTATATAGCGCCTTTTTAAACACAGGTTACAACATCAGTACAGGAAAGCAAAACACAAATGTTTATGTTGTTCAGTCAAAATGTAAAAAAAATAAAGATTGTGTACTGATAAATAGATGTTTGTTTGTTGGTTTTTGGAATATTTATAAGTGACATTTTCCCCCCTCACTTTATTGAAAAACTTATTTGGACATAAAACACAAAACAAACACAAGAGGTAAATCTAAGTGGGCAAAATATTCAAGAGTTTAAATAAATTGATTGACTGATTGATTGATTGATTGATTGATTGATTATCTGAGAACACAGTATTGAGGAGCATCATTTTTTTTGTTACAGAAGTAATATAAGATGGTATCTTCTTCAAAAATGTCTTTTTATGAATGTATTAATGTGTAATGTGTTCACTGCTGGATCATTTAGAAGTGGTTAATATTTGTGTATAATGTTCTTAAACTAAAACTTCTTTCCCCAAAGTATGTTTTAAGATCCAACATTACATGTTTCCTTTCATTTCATTCATGTCCCATTTAAAAGAGACATCTATATTTTTATTTTACTTTGTTTATGTTTCGTCCCCCCCAGCGACTTCCGGAGTGAAAGAACGGATGTACCTGTGGCTGTCGCTATGGCAACAACATGTACACAAATATGGCGGAAAAGCACCGAGCTGTTAATGAAGGACAAAATTAAGTTTTAAGCTGCAGCTTTAGCTAATTGTTAAGTATATATCTGAGAGGTGAATGATTCGTGAAACAGTTCTCGCCAACGCTACGTGTACCTCTTCTGTTTTGACTTCGCCTTTACGTGCTAATAAACTTATAAAGTTTACCGTGCTTACCTGTTTAGCATATGAGACATTTAAGGTGAGCTTACATGAGAGACTCAGTGTTTGTGCACCATGTTAGAGGAGCAGGAGACGAGGAGAAAATCGCAGTTTGATCCGTCTGTGAACAGTCACAGACCCGCATCAGGAAAGTCACAGGTAACAAACACCTACACTTTATATAACAAACTCAATTCCCGTTAAAGTAAAACGACTTCACGTCTCAAAACCGTCTCTTCCTTGTGCATTAGGACATTTCTCATGTGTTGGCGAGCACTTTCAAGGACCTTTACACAAAAGACATCATTGGGAAAGACACTTTGTCCAACCTCATCAAGACAAAGAGTGGACGGAGCAGCTACCATGACAGATATGTAGAAGAGCTCCAGCAGGTAACAGCCTAACAACCCTGTGATTGAGGGAGCCTCTACTAAATGCAAATGTTACAATCGTATGGTTAAATCAGTCATTTATTTCCAATCCAGGCTCACTCTGAATACAGCCGGCGTGTAAAAGAGGCCGACATGCTGGAGAGTCATATAATTGAGGCCAGAGCTCGAGCTGCGGCCACAGAAAGCCAGGCCTATGAGAGGATGAAAGAGAAGATAGGAGATGTTGATGATCACCAAGGCCTCCTTACAGGTGAGACGGAGACACTGTCATGAATTGTTATACTGTTGTAAACTGTGCTGTTTTCCTGAATTACACGCTATGCCATCCAGGGATGTTATAATGTTCTTTATTTGATGTTATCTTTAATCTCTAATTCCAGTCAAATCAGCCTTTTCCTGGTGTGTAGACAAAGATCTTCTTGAAACGAGCAACCTGATTTCCCCCCAGGACTACTTAGCTACACAAAAACCAAGGGTGGAAGCACCAGCAGCAAGTACATGATCCTCTATGGGACTCGTCTTCAATTATTAATGACCGAAGTGTTTTTGGCTTAATATTTAACTTTTCTCCTTTTTTCCTGTCAGTAAAATCAAATCCTGCCAAACCCACCATCGCCTACACAATGCACATGACCAGGGAGCCTCAAGATGATGGTTACACTCTAATTGCACGTCCAGAAAAGTCAGTGCCAGAAATGAATGGGTCTGATGTCAGCCTGACCTTCGAATCCAGCTCAGATACCCCAAAGAGGAAGAAAACTCCCAGGGAGGTGAGGAGTCATGAATTGATTACTAATGCATACAGTTAACAAGAGTAGATAATCAACTGAAACAAAAGACAGTTTTTAAAACAAACAACAAAAAGGAAACAACAGGGACCAAACAGGACGCAACAAGAACATTAATAAAAGGTGTTCCTCTGAGTTTTGAAAACTGATGATTATTCTGACCTGGCAAGCCTAACGTCCCCTGGGAACAAGGGAGACTTGATTACGTCAATGCACTGTTAATATTCAATAGAAAAACATCATTAAAATCTGCTTTCAGAAGCCAAACCAGACCAAACCCAGACCGAAGTGGAAGGGTGAGCCGAGCGCGAAGGATCGGGCGGAGGGATGGGAAAAACTTCAGAAGCTGAAAGATCGACACAGCTTCTTACGCAATCCTCGCTTCCTTCCTCCAAACGCACAGCAAGGTGGCACATCCCTCATCCGGCCTAGAACCAAAGTGGGGAAAGGGATGGAGCAGCAAAGGTATCTGGAATCGGTTGAGTATGAGCGTCCTCTTCATCATTTTGTCACAGGGCAGCTCATATAAAGACATTATTAATGACATAATGGGTCACATAGGTCAGTTAATCCCAAAACAAAGCACCTTTTGTGCCAAAGAGGTGTGTAACTTGATAGTCCTGGCATTATGACATTTATTGTGAAGTACATCTATCATCGTTGTATTAGTGTTTCAGTTATAATGATGTGTGAATTATATCAGTTGTGAAGTTATTACAAACAAGGAAACTTCAAAGCCTTTAATGTCAAAGTCACTACATATTACATTACATATGCCTTACCTTTATCACAGTATAAAACCTAGTTATTGTGAGCAACACTATGTTTATGCATCTTCAAAATGAGTTCCTACCTTTTTTTCACTAATTATATAAAGACAATCTCAGGACAAAAGCATATTCTGCCATCTTATTGTCACATTACATTCTTAATCAAATCAATATTTACATAAAGATTGATTGTTAGGAACCTTTTTGAATGCATTAAGAGATAATTTGCCCATTTGAGTGTGAAACAAGACACATCTTGCAGTGAGAGCCAAATGTGTGTTAAAAAAGACAAAACACAATTTCTTCATTGGCAGATGAAGAAAGTAAAGAAATGTTTGCTCTGTGGTTTTACTGTATAATTTGATGCTGGCAGTGGTAGCGTGTTACTCAGCTCACCACTTCCTGCGAGACTTTTTACTGAGAACAAACAGAACACTCAGGTGTTGTATTTGTGCTCTTCCTCCCTGAAAAGTTCTGCTGATGATCCTGTCCCAGTCTTCCTAGCAAAGCCTTCAGTGGTGGTTTTCACTGACTACATCGTGGGACATGTTTATGAGGTATATTTCAGAAATGTCAACATCCGTTGACTGTTTGGCAACGAGAAGATGTGCAGTAACATGCCCTGTCCTGTTCTAGACTACCCTGGAGCTGAAAAACTTGACTTCTGCAAGCCGCCATGTCCGAGTAATCCCTCCTACCACTCCTTACTTCCCTATTGGCCTGGGTGAGCTCTTCCTTTTGTTCTGATTGGCTTTATACAGCTAGTAAGTAAATCAACAAGTCTGCCAAGTGTCTGTGCCTGCATCAAAAAGAAATGCCAGAGAGTTTTGAGGAATTAAGTCATGCATCTCTGGAATGCAATTGATCTATTTAAGCATTCCTGTCTTGCTGTTGCAATCCTGTATGTGAACACCAGCACCACCTACTGTATCAAACACTGAAGTATAACAAGATGCTCATGTATATACAGAATTATGTTGGTAGAGTGTAAGAAGGGATTGATCTTTGAATATATTTCGTAGGGAGATTCCCCAGTGAGGGTGGCGTTGTTGCTCCAGGGATGAGTTGCAAGTACACAGTGCGCTTTGCTCCAGACTCCCTGGGGGACTATGAGGACTTCATCGTGGTGGAGACCCAGGCTGAACACTTGTTTGTGGTGCCCATCGTGGCCAGACGACCCCCTCCGATACTCACATGTGAGTCTCATAACAATCAACTGACCTCATCTGTGAATTTTATTTGGTCATGCATTGTTAATATGTTTCCCCCTAATTATTGTTCAGTACCAAGAGTTCTGGACTGTGGCTGCTGTTTGGTTGGAGGAGTAAAGTTTGTTGAGTTTCTGTGCCAAAATGTTGGTCTCAGTGCCGGGACCTTCTGTATGATACCCAAGAACCAGTGGCCAGCCTCGAACCTCAGGGTAAAAATCTACCTGACGCACGTTTTTTTTGTTTTGAAAAGAAAAAGTATCTTTCATGTGTTTGACAGGTCTTCTGTTTTTCTTTCTTCATATAGTCTGTGGCAAGAACTTACTTTTCTGAGCAGCCACCCTTTGCAGTGAGCCCGTCTCTTTTTGTGCTGCAGCCAGGAGAAGCCACTGTAGTGGAGGTTAGTCTGTTACGGAGGTACATTCAAATTAAGTGAGATCAGAAATATTTAGATGCAGTGCCTCATATGCATGTGTTTGACAAATGTGTCACTTCTGTGCAGCTGGCTGTGTGTGTTTGTATAGAAATGAAATCCTATAAATGTATTTCAAATATGTGTGTGTGTTTGCAGGTGGTTTTCTTTCCCACCACTGCTGAGAAGAGCTGCCAGGTGTTCACTGTTGTATGTGACAACTGCCAGGTGAAAGACATTTCCATCGAAGGTGAATCTATTTAGTGATTAGAAATGTTTATAAGAGCTTAGTCTATAAAAAAAAAAAAACTTAATGTCTATAATGTGTTTCTCAGGTGAGGGCCAGCTGATTGCACTTGAGCTTGTGTCGGTATCTGGGAAGAAGGAGCCTCCTGTGGTGGGAGAGGCGCATGACCTCACTGCAGAGCACTTTGTCCGTTTCAGCCCATGTAACCCTCACTCTGTGCAACAGAAGAAACTCATCATTAGAAACAATGTGTAAGCCTCACAGCTTCATATATTCTCACTACGAAGCGTGACATGGAAAAATAGTATCATGTTTTTTACATTTTTATAATCTATTTCCAACGTCATTCAACACGTCATCCATGCTTCTTTTAGCACAGGGTAACACAGTGGGTAGGGAGACCACTCTTGGCAGCATTTACATACCTGAAGTGTCCTCGAGTTAGAAATTAAATACTGATTAACTACAAGATCAAGGGCCCCTGCTCTGTCGCTGACCCTGTGTTGCACACAAGTACAAAAACAGTTTTCCTTCAGGGATCATTAAACATCAATTTACATAATGCTGTCATTCTCTCTCTCTCTCTCGCTCTCTCTCTCTGTGGCTGAAGTCACTTGGAGCTGCCTTTCCACTGGCAGATCATGAAGCCCAACCTGCGCCCTCTCCTTCCAGGGGAAATCCCAGAGCCCTCCCACATCCAATTCCACCTGGCCACAGATGATGTTTTCCATGTCAGCCCCGTCACAGGGTTTCTGGCCCCCTGCCAGGAAGAAGAGTTTCTGTTCACCTTCTGTCCTAAAGAGGTACAGAAGACTCAGCATTAGTTTTGCTTTAAGAATGCTGTATTTCTTACATTTTCAGTCTCCTGTTTAAAAGCTACATGTCATAGTACGGTATGTGCAAGAAAGACACAAATCTAACCGATATTTATTTCCTGTTCTGTTCATGTGTGAATGTTTTTTTCAAGTTAAAGGATTACCACAGTGTTTGTCACTTAGTCCTGAGGGACGTCCCTCAGCTGCCACCAGAGGCCAGTGACAATGGGTAAAGCCCCTCTGACTTTGTATGTACAGTAGAATACTATAAATATTAATATGTAAAAATATCCGCATTTATTAAGAACTCTCACATCACACATTAAATTGACCAAACAGGCATACTTTTAATCTAACTAAGTGTTGTTGTGTCATTGTGTAAATATAGTGTCCTTCAACCTGTCCGTACGGGCTCCAAGGTGAGCGATGTCATCGTCATGGAGATAGAGGTCAAGGGGTCAGCAGAGCCATACCAGGTCCTACTGGAGCCCTATGCTGTTGTTATCCCTGGAGAGATTTTTATTTGCGCAACCACCCGCAGACAATTTAAGGTTATTTAAGTCACTTTTTCCTAGTATTGACTATGAGTGACATATTTATGCCTCTACTACAGTTATTCAGTTTCAGTTTTTATGTCTTGTGTGTACCAGATGTGGAACCACAGTAAATCCTACATATTTTTCCAATGGGAGAGAATCAGGAGCTGCCACATAATAGAAGTAGAGCCCTCTACTGGCAGAATAGGTGTGTCACAATGTTGAAACAGAAAAATCTTCCATCAACAAGATTCACTTGAATTTGTACATTTTTAAATTGTAAAACTATGTTGCTTTATTGATTGATTTGGGTCTAGAGGAGAACGAGTGTTTTGATTTCGACCTGATTGTGACTGGAGGGAAACCAGAAAGAGTTGTGACCAGTCTAGTGTGCCACATAGAGCACCACCACGAACCCATCACTTTGGCCATGGAAGTCTCCTTTAAGGTAAGAACAAATCTGAGCACCATCACAAAATCCCCAACATGCCATAGCTTAAAATGGTTGAATATTCTCCATTACTAGTGTGTTGTAGTTTGTGACCTCTTTGTGCTCATAATGTGATTTTGGATAGGGTCCCATAGTGACCCTCGATGTGCCCAGTGTGGACTTTGGGCTCATGAAGCTTGGGGAGCAGACACAGACCACGCTGCTCCTCACCAACATCACCCAGCTGGAGGCCTCCTGGATGCTGAAGGAGAGGCCGGACCACCAAGACATGCAGGCACTGTACAGAGGACCGATATAGCACCACATCTGTGATTAGAAATAACATGAAAGAGGTGGCTTGTTTTTTTTTTTGTTTTTTTTTTTACATATTTATGAATCTCTGTTGCTTAGATCTTGGTGGAGCCATGCAGAGGTGTGCTGCCCCCCCTGGCCTCTTGCAGTGTGGATGTACTGTTTATGCCACGTTTCTGCCAGCAGTATGAAACAGAGTTGGAGCTGACGGTGGAGAATGGAACAGGATGGTAAGGATTCATAAAGCTTCACTGCTACATTAACAATGATGATGGGACTGCGTCCTGCTGACAACAAGCAACACTACCTGTGTTCGTTGCAGTCACTTGTCGGTGCGAGCAGATGTGCAGTCTCCCCAGGTGTGTCTGCTAAACTGTGAGCTGCTCCTCTCTGAACTGTACATTGGAGTTCCTGCCAAAGCAACCATCACACTCTTCAACCAGACCCTGCTGCCTTCACACTTCAGCTGGATGGTACCCTTACATGGCTACTTTTTAACATTTTATCTCCACTTAATTTTAAATCCCGTAAGAAACAAAGCTGTTGTCTAAATGTAAAATGCATTGCGATTATTAGAGAATGGTTAGAATGATTAAGTATTTTAAGACAGTTAATACTTGGTGATGTGAGTTTGACGTTTACCCTACCAGGCTCAGCTCGAGGGTAAACATGCTGAACTGTGTGCAGCCAGTTTTGACCCCACCTCTGGCACTCTGGGGCCTAACACCAGCATGGAGATCACGGTTACCTTTATCTCTCATACAGATGTAAGTACCAGTTATTAACACACCAGAAGCTCAAACAATTTGTCACTTAACATTTGAATATGTGAAAGTAAAGGAGGCAAATTATACTGCTAGTTAATAGAATAAAAATTGTCCTTTGATGTACTTTGTCTTTTTGTCCAGATGGAGCTGACTGAGGTGGTTGCTCTCTGTGAGGTCCAGGGGATGAACTCTCCTCTTGCCCTCAGCATTGTGGCCCCCAAAACCAAGAAACTCAGTGTTTCCTACTCGCTCCCCAGTGCTCGGTAGTAACTTTGGCTTTAAATCTAGCTAATTCCATAGCATAGCATCCATATCAAGTGTTAGACAGATACATTACCATTCAAAACACAGCCTCTCTTCTTTGCTTTTAGCTCTACCTCAGATGATGAGACCCCCGCAACAGTCTTACTGGACTTTGGAGGTGATGTCATTTTGAAGAGAGCTGTTACGAAGCAGTTATTGATAACTAATCATACTGCCGTCACTGCCCCTTTCACCATAGAGGCGGAGTATTTCAGCTGTCATGCCTCAAAGCCACATTACCAGTCAGAGAAAAGGTAAGGGAGCTCCCTGAACAATGGATCAAAGAATGACTTTACTGTACTTCTGATGTGACACGGGTTGCATTTTAAATTGCAGATTCACATACGTCAAGAAGCCTCTTCACTCAGTTCAAGCTAAGAAAGTAGAAGAAAAAGCACATGAGGGTTAGTATGCACACTTTTAAGAGAAAGCAGATTGAGTACATGCACCTCAGATTCTGATTGTATTTTTATATCTCTTGGCAGAGTTTGTGAGCAGCCTGCTGGCTCATGGAAAAGGTGCAGCTTTCTTTGTTTTACCAGACACTGGGATGCTGGGACCTTTTGAGACCCAGACTGTGGATGTCACCGCCTACACTGATATGTGGGGGGAATACAGAGATCACCTCATATGCAGAGTATGGTGCTATACAATAGGATGTAACTAGAGCCCGACCAATTTTAGTGGAGACAAATTCACATCATTACAGATATGGCGGTCAGTATGGTGAATTTTTGAGCTGGAATGAAAATCATGACTATGCAAAGGTATTCAGAAGGCTGCTTACTCAAACAAATAACCTTATTAAAGTTGCGTATTCTTTAATATGTTAAATAATTTAACATATACATTATCAACCAATTCTCCTCTCTTGCTCTGTGCAGCTTGCCACAGTATTGTAAATCGCAGTGCACTGCTAGATAAACTTTGCAGTGACCACTATATTACCAAGCATTTTCTTTATATCCCAGAAAAAACTGTTTTCATATCAAATAACATATACACAGATATAATACCAATATGTCTGATATAGTCCACTGGCTGACTGATATATCGGTTGGGCTCTAGATGTAACAGATATTAAAGATTAAAAATTACCTCCTACTGTAGATTAAGACTGTGAGCAAATTTTTTACACGTGTATTCTCTTCATTTTGTTGTAGACTGAATAATGTTGAAATGTATTTTTCCTCCTGAAGGTTGGGGACCTCGATCCCGCACTCATTCCCATGCAGATGACAGTGAAAGGCTGCCCACTCTACTTCCAGATGACGGGCCCACGTCCAGATGACCAGAACCAGGGACCAATCATACAGTCCGTTGCACTGTCCATTTCTCCAGTTAAATCTGGCGTCATCAGTGTATTTTTTTTAATGATGGCTTTAAATCTGTTGGTTTCACATTTCCTGTTTGCATCATCAGGTTTGGCACTCACGTATCTGGAGGTGACACAGTGTCTCGTTCCCTTCGCATCAACAATCCCACCATGTTTGGTAAGATTATAAAAAACAGGATTATAATAAATAGTACTAAAAAGGCTGCTGGGCTGTAGTTGTTTTGACTGCCGATTCACTAGAGATGGTATTGGAGGAAATAACCCTACTTCAGTTTGAAGCTCTCCCCTGTTGAGTGATGCTCCACAGAACAATATATAAGGTCTTTAGTGCCCATGTGTGTGAATGACATGATATTTGCTTGTTTTCTGAGACATAGGTTGTGTTTTTAACATAATTTTAAATGCTTTCTTTTAAATGTATTTTTAATTTATTGGCTTGGCAGCTTTCAGAGCTAAACTAACATCCTCTTGGAGTACGTGTTGGTTTTTGTGTCTTACTACTGTAGTCTGCTGTGCTGTGCTGACTTATGTCTTATTTCTCATTTGTCTCTGTGTACCATCAACCAAACTAGTTTCCCCTCTGAGGGTTAATAAAATGATCTAATCTTAATCTTTATATGCTGCAAGATATTCGCATGGACTGGGAAACATATAACGTAGATCCAAATGACCGTAAACTGGTGGATGTTGTGGTGGCATATGGAGACGCCTTTCCAGTCAAAGATGCTGATGGCAATGAGGTGTTGAGTGGAGCATTAAGGATTTCTGATGGGAGCATTCAAACAGTCTGGGAAAGAAATGAGACCCCAGGCTCTGAGGGAACGAGCGGCTCCCTCCAAAGCATGACGGTGAGTAGATATAACATCTCAACACAGATACATAAACTTTAACGACTTTTATGATGCTGCCTCTGGGAAATTTCTATAGCTACAGTACCAATTAGTGGACCCATGTAATAAAATGCACATTTTATTCTTTCTTTGGCTCAACACTTAAATTGTATTGATTTCAGGGCGGGGGAAGAGAAGAATGCATATCTGAGGAGAACTGTGAGAAAGAGGAAATGTGTCTTTATCCCGCTCCAGCAAAGAAAAAACTAATCTCTGTCCACATCAGACCTCATGTGGGCAACCCCTCAGATTACCCGTACTGCATCACACCTCAGCAAATAGTAAGTTGATTGGGTTTCAGCCACATATGTCAGTTTTAACTTGTAAACATGAATTAATAATTACGTATTTTGTTTCTGGTGTTTATCTCAAGGTGATACCGGCAAAGAGCAGCGGCACAATCCACGTATCTTTCACTCCTTTGACTCTTTCCGGGTCAGTTTGTGAGTCCAGATGTGTTGGTTTGGCACTGGGCTTCATGAGTCTAGACTCTGAGGTAACATGTGCAATACACTAGACAAGTAGATTACTCTGTTGTACTGTAAATGCCCTTATTATTGTGTTGTGTGTGTTTACAGATGGCTGCCTGTGTCCCGGGTAAAGTTGGAAGAGCGCAGGCTTTGGATCTGGAGCCTGTCAGAATGGATCTACTAGCAGTCGTTAAGCCTGCAGTGTAAGCAATTACAGTCAGACTATTTATGTCCACAAAACCAATGCATCCAACTCAATTTATGTTTCCTAAATTAAAATTAGCTGAGGTTAGGCAAGAGGAGCTCAGAGGTGGTCTGATTAAGTTGCATATCTTCCCCCTGGCTCCCTGTTGCTGCAGGCTGTTAGTGCAGATGGAGGAGGACGAGGGAGTGCTGGAGTTTTGTGCCTCAGCCGGTGATTTACTGAAGGGAGAATCAGAGAAGGAGGTGGGTCTGAGAAATGTACAACACTAATCATGAGTGCTCTGACACACTGAAGTGCACGCATGAGGTATTGATCCCAAGTGTGCACGGTTTTTCTGACCAGTAATGCTCAGTGGTTGTTTTGCTCTGTAGGTGGTAGTGCATGAATTTGACATCACACGGACCTTTAGGCTGAAAAACAACTCAGAAATGCTGCTACACTTCAGACTGGGGGCTCAGCCTCCATTTTCAGTGCTCAAGCCGCAGCCTCGAGCACGGACCAGCAACTCCAGCAACCCGCCCACTGGTGACAGCCATTCTCTGATGCTGCAGCCACAATCCAGCCTGCAGGTGAGATGAGGAAGGGGGTCATGGTCTGTATAATATATTATACTCTAGTTACAGTTGCAGAAAGATTTTGATCTAAAGGATGTTCCTTCCTCCATCTTGTGTTTCTTGACTGTAAGTTGTACTCTTTTCTGTGAATACTAGGTGAAGGTGGCCTTCCACTGCTCCCTGTCTCTTCTGGATCATGCAGACCAGGTGGATGAGTTGGAAGTTCCTCTTGGGGTGACGCTGGTCCATACTGCAAGTGGGCACATGAAGCTTAGGTTCCAGCAAAACCTCCTGATTCACTACAGCAACAACAGCCTGCAGGTCAGAGACTGTGGTGAATCTCTGAAATTAGTGTATAAAGAATAAAATTGAATTTGTAGGTGAAGTTAATTTCCTCTCCGCTCTGTGCAGACCGTGCCTCTCCGTGCCCATTTGGATCTTGCTATCCTTCGTCTGTCCACTGACAGCATTAACTTTGGGTTCTGCTACGTCGGGCAGACACAGACAATAGAAATCAACCTGTACAGCCATGGAGCCCACACATACTGGAAATCAATTATAGGTAATGAACTGGCTTCTAAATGTTGTTGGTATTTCCTTGTTCTTACATTGGCTCTCGGGTTTGTTTAGGTCTTTAATTTAGGCACAACTAGCCAGAATTATGATTTTCTTTACACATACAGTACTTTACTATTTAATTATTTGCTGTAACAGTTGGAAAGAGCCTGACTCTTCTTCATTATTATAACCGGTTGGGAGCTTTTCCAAAGTCAGTTAAATATAATGAGAGAGTTTGACATCAAATGATTGCCTTGTGTTATGTAGTAATGAGTCTTGATATATGCCTGTGTGTTTGTTTGTATGTGTGTATGTGTTTGTGGAGTCAGATGGAGACTCCTGTGTGTTCAGAGTGACTCCAGACTTTGGGTGTCTTAGCTCCAAGGAGGTCCATGTCACCAGCTGCAGTCAGTGTCTACAGATCAGTTTCTCTCCCAGGTAAAAAAAACCCATAATTAAACTGTCACACAGGGATGATGATAAGCATATATTATAAAATATTTACATTTTTCTTTTGTGTTATAGTGAGGACAGAGAGTTCAGAGCCGTTGTAGTGATCCGGTCTCCTCTGGTGAAGATCCCCCTCACTCTGCAGCTACAGGGAACAGGATCCTTTGATGAAGTGTACAGGTGTAACTAACAGTCACACAATCACCACCTGCTCTCCTTAAGTCAACATATTAATAGTCCTTTTGTAAGAATGTTAATAAATATTAAGAACAACTTGTCAAGTCTCCCTTATTTTGTTACATATAAAAGTACCAAAGCTCTTTTAGAGATCAGTAAATTATGAACTTGTTATTGGTTTTCTATCAAGACAATTGATAATATAAAGATACAACCTTAAGATATGATAAGACTTAATTTACAGTACATACTCATAAGATCGGATTCAATTATAGTCACTCAAACTATGTTTTCTATTTTCCTTTAGTACAGGAAATCAAATCAACCCAAGGCCCCAGAGAGAGTTTTCAAAACAGGAAATAACAGAGGATGGATACTGTGAAAGCCTGTTTAATCACTTATACTGGATACATTTTTCTAGTGGGGTTTATATCAAAGGAAGCTTGTGTTACTCAAACAAATGAACAGCAGTTCTGTGGTTGTGAGCATAAACCTTCTGCTTCTGTGTTTGTGCTTGAGCACAAATCACCTGACAGGCAGTGGAGAGGATGACCCATAATGGCTCATCTCTTGGGATTCACCACTGTGAAATCTCAGTGTTGCCCACAGCACAGGAAACCCATCATTTACTGTAAAGTTTAAAAAAAAAAAATCACTTCCCGGGTATTTTTAGGTTTTCACTTGGCTGCCAGAGGCCTCATTGATTTCCAGCAAATCGATATCAGCCACAGTTCGCCCTGAGGGGAAAATAGATTTTCCTAGAAGACCTTTTTAGTAACGATAAAAAAAAAGACAGCCATAAGGATAAACACCAGTAGTGTTTCCACATACTCACACACATCTTACAAGCTTGTAACAGTGCTGTAGGAAAGGCTGGTCCAGTTCACATAAGACGAGGAGGAACTCTGACAGAATAAAAGCTTTGACTGTTGACCTACAACCAGTCGGCGCTGGTGCTACTCCATCCCTCATCTGGCTGGAATTCCCTGGGACATGTATCTGGACTGCTGGAGGAGATTCATTCATGTGTCGATTCCGGTGTTGAAGAAATAGCTGCTGTTTAAGGTAAAATGTGTGTTAAAACAGTATTATAATGAAGTACTGTAGGACTGTAGAGATGCCCTGGCCTGCAAAGCATGTCCTCCAGATGTAAGAAAACATGTTTGTTTGATACTTTAGAACCCAACAACTGTCACATCATCATAATATTTTTTTCCAGTGAAAATTAAAATTGTGATGCAAAACTTGTGAATATCACAATATCTGTCCAAATAATTATACAATATATTATGCAGCCATACTGCTGTGTCAGAATTCAGTTTCTGTGTTTGAAATGAATATTACTCCATTATTTAAAGTAGTTTCAAGGAATTGTGCCCATTAAAACTGGAAAAATTACTCTTTTGTTTTGTAAATTTGCAATTTTATGCAGCAATGTGCTCAAAAACCAAATCAGGACTTCTATATACAAATCAATATGATATGTGACTGTGTTGTTAGCGTGAATCTCACGTGATTAATTGCTCTTGAATTACTTTGATTTCAATAATGAAGTCACACAAACAGACAAACACATAAAACTGAATACAACCCAGTCTTATTTTCTCCAGTGACCCCAAATCTCTCTTAAACACTCTCTAAAGTGATGCACACACACACACACACACACACACACACACACACACACACACACACACACACACACACACACACACACACACACACACACACACACACAGCCTCTTAATGTTCATAACAGCTGCCTGTAGTGTTCATCTACAGCACAGTTCAGCGGTACAGACTTCTACAAGCGATGAAAGTCCACAGAGAGATGCAAATGTCCAATTGATATTCATTGCACTCAAGCAGTCTTACACAGAGCAAGGGCATGTCTGATCACAATAAAACAAGAGCTGTGTGGAATTAATCTGAAGAGAGCTATACTAGAGCCAAGGTCAGTGGGGCATTTATTATTCTGATCTTTCTAATATACCAAAAAGAGAAGACAGGACTGCCCGGGGGTTACTTTTTAAAAAATAATTTAGGTGCACAGGTAGGCTCTTCTTGAGGTTGTACTGCAAATGTTCAGCAGTCTGACCAAGAGAACAATATACTGTTGATATGTGTTCAATCATTCCCCAAGTTACAACACACTGCTGCATTTGTATGGTCTGTTTCAGTGTCACTGTCCATTAGTCTGGAGCTCACGTCAGCACACTCGCTGATTGAACACAACATGTTCTCTGTGCTGCCAGAAAAATAGCAACCAAGATGCCAAGCCAAGTATTTGTCCACATACAAGGAATCTGACTCTGGTTTTAAGTTGCTCTTAATGTTATTACACACAGGACAATTGATTGGAAGATAAAAGACACATAGAGCTAAAAATAAAGACAAAAAAGCTGAACAACAATAGTAAAAGTAAGTGAAAAAATAGATATGTATATTTGAAAAGCACAACAACATGCAATGGCTGGTCAAACTGTTAAATTGTAAACAAAAATACAATAGTGCAAGGTTGTCGAGTCCTCGGATAAATATTGATTGATTAATATATTAGATTACATGAAATTGATATGTACAATATATACAGCATGCTTATCATGAGGATGTGCACACGTAAAAACTGTATTTAACCTACTGTTACTCTTCACTCCAAGTTCCTGATGGATCCTACAGTCACAGTAAAGGGAGGACATTGTGGTTGCTGGTGATGGTTTTGTGAGGACTGAGTAATTAGTGGAGCATTTTGGCTTTTTACCTGCTTAAACTGAGCCAAGAGGAGTTCTGTCTGTTGGCGGTAGACTGGCATAGTGGCTAGAAACTCCACTGGGATCAATACAGAGCAGGTCAGAGACACTGTGGCTGCACTAATGAGGAGCGCACAGGACCTACACAAACTGTAGGGGAACTCAAAATGGGTGGCTCATTGGGTGAGAGTGCCTGCCAGCTCTGATCAGGTGTGGTGTCCTGACAAGACTGGGAGGGATACACACACTTTTTTGTAGATTTGCTAAAAGTTCCTGAAAGTTTTCACAACTGGAAAACCTGCATCCTGAACTGTTATCCTCTTTAACCTTTTACTGTGGCTCTCCTGACGCCATGAACAGCTGCAGTTTTTACATGATGGTTCCTGCCTTGTGCGCTCTTTGCTAAGAAGAAAGTGAAACCTGTGATATGATCAGTTTTGTTTCAACATTGCATCTTTATAAAAAAAAAAAAAAGGGACATACTGTCTACTGAAGGACTGTACTTTCCATAATAATAAAAGTTTTAAACAATTAACAATTAAATAAAGATTTGCTTTATAAAGAAATTATGTAATTTTCTTCTGGTCATAAAGCATAAAGGGTCAAGTCTTCTATTCGGCCCATTTAAATGTATTCTACTCAGAAAAACAGTTATACATGATGTTTTTGGATGAAATTACTGGTTTAATAAAATATAATATAAACTTTATTAATACAGCACTTTTCAAAACAAAATTACAAAGTGTTTTACATGGCTGGGACCATGTGTGTGTTGCATTTTACTGCTGCTGATGTTTAAGGTTGCACTAATTTTTAACTACTTTATATACAATGCATCTTTATCTTTAGATCTTTGTATGTTTCTAGTGCTGCTGTCCTGCAAGTATCTCTACAAAAAAGTCATCTGTTTTTATCTTTGTGATGCATTTTCTAACCAGAGAGAGCAAGAGGTTTTTTAAAAAGTTTATTTAGCTTAAGAAATAGGAGAATTTTCTCAACTCAGTAAAGGAAAAGTGAATCACTCAGTTTATCAGAAATATTCACCAGAACTGAACTACATTAGTACTTGAGTAAATGTAATTACAGTAAATGTTACATTCCACCACTGAATAAACTGTATAACTGTATAAATGTGTAAAATGTTGTATTTGTATTTTTGTATTTATGTGTTTTAGGTTTGTAATCGGTTAACAGATAATAATGGTGAAAAGGTCAAATGTACAGTAGTATTATTATACAAAATTATCCATAAAAGTGTGTAAATTTACAGTAAGTTTAATTAATTATTTTTTCTTAATAATATGTATATACATATATTTTACACTTTCTTTGTCAATGTAAACAAATGTTTCCTATGCCAATAAAGCCCATTTGAACTGAACTGAATTTAACTTATACCCCTACTATATACAGTGTTTAAATATATGAGGTTTTCCAGTGCACAACGATTACACTGTAATAACATTGAAGAGAAAACAGTCCTTTAAAGCACATGTTGTACTTCCTCCAGGTGTCCACCGGGGGGCGGTGCTTCCTCCAGTTTGACGCCGCTGCCTTGGAAACGCACCACCGGAGAGCGTCACCACTTCCTGGAGCTCACGTTGTTGCTGACATCAGAGGCGCAGCTCCAGGGAAGAGCTCAGCTCTTCAGTGTAGTGTGTGTGGAGAGCAGCGGAGAGCAGGGTGAAAAAAAAAAACTTTCCTCTGAGAGACACCAGCCATCGCGGCTCATTCCTGCCTGTAAACTCTGGATTATGCACCTGGAGAGAAGAGGAGATCTTTCTGCCTGAAACACAGATTGTGTTTTAGTAATTTTCTGCGCTTTAGTACAGAGCGCAGTTTCCGGATTTCAGCCCACTGTTTTGGAAGATTTTTGTTGCTCTGCATCTGCTGGGATTTTTCCGATCTTCCTGTCGTTTTATCTGTCAGAACTTAAAACTCGCCACTTGATTCATCTTCATAAATCCTGCAGCCACGACAAGATCATGGAATATAGATAACAAGGTAAGAGTCCCAGTCTGGATTATTTCTCCGTTTGTTTTGTGCCATTACTGAGACCACTGCTGTTATTTCCTGTTTATTGCAACTGAAATGCCAGGACATTGAAGTAGACTTGCAGCTATTATTATTTTGCTTAGTTGTTGTGTAAATGGCTCTTCTGATCAGACACAAGCATGTGCAGTAGTTGTTTACTGGATGGGGCCCTCCTTGCAAGTGGAAACTGTTACCTCGACAACCCTAAATGAATTTGAGTGCAAGTGTTTCTTCAGTAAACTTGAATTTGGAAAGTACAGGCCCATAATCAGCCCCATTTTTGTTGTAAGAAGATACACTTTGTTTAGGAAA